TTTTGTCATCATGCTTTGTTACCTTACCTGTTTATTCCTCATGAGGGCGTTTTTTTATGGCAAGATGGCGCAAACGGAAGTCCTTCGCAGATTTATGGTTTCTCATATTTAAATCATAACTCTGAAGATAATCAATTTTTTGAAATTTTTTTTTCAAATTTATTATCAATATACATAACTTGATAAATACAAACACCAAAATAGGCTCTATTTAGTTCCCCTTTAAATCAAAGGTAAAAAAAAAAGATGGCCACGGTCTACGTCCAGGTCTCCAGAGGGCGCCATCTATTGTAATTCAATTTTGTGAGAGAATCTCAGGAGTTACAAGATGACAATTTACCGGGAACCCTTGCAATCTTAAGGGTAATTTTCAACAGTCACCACCATGTGACCAATTTCAACAAAATGGTGACTACCCTTAGTTTTCACATTGCATTTTATGTGAAATTTGCCTTGTGTAAGCTCACTTTTCCCATGTAATTGTAAACAACAAAATTTTCAGATACAGTGACCCCTCGGTAAGTCGCGATTCGGCTAAGTCGCCGGTATTTGGATGGCTCCCAAAATTTCTATTGTGTTTTGACAGCAGTTCTGAAGTACAAAGTCTAATGTTTCTGTGGCATACTAGTAGTGTTTTTAACTAACCGTTAAAGAGACAACTTAACACTTACTGTCCGTCAATTGCTGCGATGCAATGGGCAACAGTGGCCTTACTCAAGGTGTCAACAGGGGTGTCGAGTACGGGGTCGGGTAGTGACCGTACGTGCTTCTCGGTCGGTCCCATTTTGGTATACCTCTATAAAACTCGCTACAATGAGTTGAATTCATTATCTGATCTCTATTTCTCAACTGAGCAGCATGTCTAAGCGAAATCTATTCAGCCTGTTCGTACGCCATAAACTCACAGCGATCGACCGTGTCAAGAAGAGGTGAAACCAAGTTAAGGGTTGCACGTGATCTAGCAGTGGGTGAGCCCACTATTCGTGGGTGGGTAAAAAATGAAGAGGGAATTTGTTGACCAAGTTGACCAAGAGGCGAGACTGAACAGAAAAACATACGAAATTGTCCGACATTGATGACATCGATAAAGCTGTTTATGTTTCTTCAAGAGATCTGCCGGAGCTCCACTCTCTGGTCCCATCACCCAATGCAAAGCACACAACTCAGATATGACGACTTTTAATTTGAGGCCAGTTCAAGGTGGTTCTTGTGATGACAAAGAAGATACGCTATACACGAAGTCTCAATCCGAGGCAAAGCTCGATCTGCGAACATAGACACTGTCAGAACGTTTTCCGAAAAACTGAGAGGAATTATCTATGAAGGTGGTTATTCCGACGAACAAGTTTATAATTACGATGAAGCTGGTTTAGTTTGGAAGCTGTTACCGTCGAAGTCGCAAGCAACAGCAAACGACCCACATAATATCGGACACAAACAAAGTAAACAACGCATTACTGCAGTGTTTACAGCAAACATAATCATGATCTTATTCGAATACTGCCTGACACACAATTTGTAAATATGTTTCTAATCTTTCAATTAACTAAACCAAGGGTTTATATGTGCTTTTTATATGTTTTCAATGCACGACCCTCCTCTTTCACGAGGTCCCTCCGTAAGTCGCGGTCCTCGATAAGTCGCGGTTTTTGCTTGGATCCTGACACCCACGACTTAGCGAGGGGCCACTGTAGTAAGTTATACATTGTCAATCCTACAAAACTTCATGATAGTCCAATTTCTCAGACACATTCATGAAAATGCTTCTCTAGCATAATCATTAGTAGGTATTACAATACTTACTTGCATATGTGTGCCAGTAACCTGGCAGCATAGTCTCTTAATGTCCAGTGGTCATTTAACGGATTGATTGATGCTGCCAATGGCTCCATTATACAATACATTACACTTGATACAAGTCTCTTTAACTAGAGTAGAGTTAAAATAAAAAAACATCAATAATACAGTAAAAACACTAATTTTTACTGTGATATAATTTAACTATTTTGACCTGGGTTTTATATATTCATAAATTTGTCATTAAGTGATAATTGTACATGTTCATATAAATTAAAAGTTGTACCGGTACTTGCACATAAAAACAGAGATATGAATTACAACCCAGAGAATAATTAATGCATTTACAGTGGATCACAAGATGGAACAAATGTATGTCACAAAGTTTTAATGAAATTAAAAAAACTAACCTATAAGGTACATAATGTTTGATAATAGTGAAAGTTGTGGCGACACCATTAATAAGAGTCATTCTATAAATTCTGAAAGGATGAATCTCATGGCATGTACAGAAAACAAATGAAGAGACTAATCTCAATGGGAAATGCTTCACATCAAATATTGATTTTGTGATATGGAAATGCCCTAAGATACCAAAAAGACACCCTAAGATACCAAAAAGACACCCTAAGATACCAAAAAGACACCCTAAGATACCAAAAAGACACCCTAAGATACCAAAAAAAAGCTTCTAAACTGGATGTCTTGTGAATACTGTAACAGTTGTATTTGGTACATGACGTTTATTATGAGGGTTCGTTATTATGAGGAGTGCATACTTTGCAGTATACCGTACTCGTAATAACCTTATTATTATAAATCTTTTCCTCCCAGGTATACATCATGGAAATGCCGAAATCCAAAATGTTCAGAACATATTTAGTGAACATTATTGTGTGGGGTCCAGTCAAACCCTGGGGCAGCCATGTTTGTTTTTATTATTAGAGGACGCTTAAGCGCATAATCGTTCCATATTTGGAATTCACGTTTCCTAATATTATAGGATGAAAACACCCAGTGCAATACTGCAAAATTATGGCACCTTATGATATTATGGTGACAGATGTATAATAATACTTTATATATCAGGGACTTCCAATAAAATATAGAATTAATATAATTCAACATGAATTACTCACATACGGACCAAGGTATACAAATGGATTGTAAATAAGTGACATCACTATATGCATTAGTTTAGTTAGCTGTCCCAAATCATGATTGACTTTCTTAACTCCAACAGAAACAAACTGGATGAGATATGGTAATAAGGAAGAAACCTTGGAGTTGGTTCGGAGATCGTCAAGAGCCACCTGTAAAGTCAGCAATAAAGAAATATATATAAGAAGTATATTTGAATTCCAAATCTCAGAATCAGCTTAATTTCAGACCTTAGAATCAGCTTCATTTCAAACCTCAGAATCAGTTTAATTTCAAACCTTAGAATCAGTTTAATTTCAAACCTCAGAATCAGTTTAATTTCAAAGCCAAGAATCAGTATAATTTCAAACCTTAGAATCAGTTTAATTTCAAACCTTAGAATCAGTTTAATTTCAAACCTCAGAATCAGTTTAATTTCAAAGCCAAGAATTAGTTTAATTTCAAAGCCAAGAATTAGTTTAATTTCAAAGCCAAGAATCAGTATAATTTCAAACCTTAGAATCAGTTTAATTTCAAACCTCAGAATCAGTTTAAGTTCAAACCTCAGATTAGCCTCATTCCATTCTCAGATTCAGCGATATGAAAACCTAAGATTCAGCCTTTAATCTACAGAAATGCTTTAAAATAGCTACCGGTATTGATAAATGCACTCTAGTCATGTGACTTTTGAACCTGGGGTCGACACATTAGATTTTACTGTACACAATGCAACGTATGTTGCTGCAAAGGAAATGCAGGGCAGTAAAGAACATAAATATATTTTTAAAGTTTGATCTTTGCTGTTTTTATTGTTTTTCCATTGCATGAAACAGAGAATATACAAAAACACACACGTTTGTATTAGACTACTCAGAATGCTTAGGACATGTTGTTTTGGAGATGATGAAAATCAAAGCAAGTTCCCTTACCTTCATAATGTCTTCATCATTGCCCAGAATAGCTTTAGTCACATTTTCATGATATTTCACCAAATCCTCAGACAAGGTCTGTGCTTGGACTTGACCATTACGCTTTCCTGTAAAGCCTTAATAAAAAGGCACAAGGAAAAAATTATCTGACACCCGTAAAACTAGTTGGTTTACAGTCAGATTATAGTCAAGATCTATGACTGACCAACAATCATTTATGAGTACAGAAATAACAATTACAGCCATGGTTACAGTTTTATTAGACAGGTTCAACTGTAAGCCAATAAAGCAAAACGACAAACATTTGATGCGTTTTTTATCATTTTTAATCTAGTTCCCTATTGTTTACACAAGTTTGTCATTTGTGTATGCATGACAGTATAAATATAATATATATATCATATCACACATAGGATAAATGATTTTTAAATCCAAATGACCTGATTCTACTAAAGCTAACTTTTCAACAACTTGCATGCACTTCTAATACAAATATGGTTTATATAAAATATTAACAGGCAACAGTTACCAAACAGATTTGAATAAAACTGCCATATAGATCAGTAAACAATGTGTCAGGCTTCACATGACCTGCACATGACCTTGTACTTACCTTGAGGGCCACTCTGTATTGGAGGCTTCTGCACACCTTCAACAGCAAGCCACTGAGCTGCAGCCAAGAAAGAAAACAGTGCTTGTAATATTCAACCAGTGTTACATACATGCACAAGGAAAAAAATTAATTTGTCTACGTTTAAATATGATCCCTGAATATCAATGTTCACAGTTTTATGATTTTAGGGAGTTTACATAGATGAAACGTTGTCAAAATCACAGTGACTCCCCGTTCACAACCACAAAATTGTCATTGTCTCGCAAAATTATAACACGCAAATCGTATTCAACTTGGTAATATAAGTATATATTTGCGTTTTAGTTATCGTTAGCCAGATGTTTACTGCAAAACCCGTAATATTAGCAACTAACTAGGTCTGTACTTGTTTATTTGCATAGCAGACACACCTCCAGTCAATAAACCAATAACAATGGTAGATATAGACACACCCCTTTCTGAACAAACAACTTGGGTACAAAGTGTCCAGTTGGTTCATAGTCCATGAGTTGTTGACCGGTGAATGCACTGGTTTGTACAAATCGGGCAAATAAACACATTAGCCAACCAATACTGGATATATCAAGTACATGCAGACAGGGTTCATCAAGGATAGGTAAGTAACTTTAAATTGTGTATAAACTTTTACTTTAATCAATCATTTTTAATCAAAGAATTGCTTTAATTAGTAATATATAATTTGTTTTCAAATGAATGAAAATTAGCAGCAAAATATTCTTGTGAGGAGTTGAAAATTTATGAGGCAAGTGAAGTCGCACAGTGTAAAAACTGACTGTGCACTAATTTGTACGCAATTGAATCACTTGTTCTTGAGAAAATTGGTACATATCAAAATGAGTTTATTATTAAATCAGTAAATAGTTCATTTCTGGCTGCTGTATTTGCATCTTTCATTGCTATTAGCATAAATATAGGTCACATGACCTGACATTTTACTCCTTGGGCAGTATCAATGCAAAATTATTATTTTTTCCAACAAATCTTCGACAACAAATATTAAATCGTATTAGAACAGTAAAAACTTAATTCATTTGAAGGATTAAGACTCATTCTTCATATATTAATTTTGTGGCTCACAATGAAATATTCTGAGTTTTTTCTCTGTTTGATACATACAAATCAACGTTAAAATCATCTATGACAAGAGAAATAGAAGAAGAAAAAAGTGTGTCACACAATTAAATGTTTGATACAACACAGAATCATTTTTTCAATTTTACTTTTTACTAATTTTTTTACAAAGGTTCATTTTAGGGCAACAGAAACATAGATGTGTAGATGGGCATTTCACAGCACTTTAAATGCAGCATTAGCCTGCCCACATTCCCTAGAAGGACAGTGGCCTGCTTAATCTTTTCCATTGTATTGCCAACTGCATTTGTTTTAGCATTATCAACTGCCTTGCCCTATGGTTTTGTTTTTATAACTCAAAATATGGTCTCAGGTTCCATTTTAATATTACTCAAAGCTATAAGAAGATCTCAATACCTCTGACAGTAGTTTTCCCAGCACATACTGGAATTTTTCCATCCATGGAAATCTCAGGGAGGTTGATTTCTTTGTCTTCCATGAAGTACAGCTCTGCATCCTTAGTCGTTCGAAAGAGCATTGGATCTTGGGACCCATAACCATAAATAGGCTGGACATTTAAAAATATTTTTACATTCATAAAAAAACAAATCATCAAAGGTGAGTTGAGAAAACTTTTTCCATCCAAGTGACTTTAATAGTAATCTGGGATCTATTACACTATTGTAATCTAGTTTCTACGAGATGAGAATGCAATCACTCAAAACATGTAGGTGTGGGCAAATGCACAGAAGTACCGGTACTTGTTTTCAGTATCAAGGAAATCTCACTACTGTGAAACAGTGATTTACAAAGCATAGCATATCAGCAAATTGATATAATAATATAATATGTAAATTACTTAATATATTGTATTCATTGTAGGGATTATTAAGGTAGCGGGACTATTATTTGCATACTTTTTCTCATCTCCTAATTGTGACTAAATGACTACAAATAGACCCAGAAAAGTATATATTTTTATAATCGCCAGACTTCAAGCTTTTCACAAGTGTATTTTGCATGCCCGTATCTGCATTCTACGACACGTTACTCAATCAAAGGTGAAAAATTACTTTTTCTGTAAAAAAAATAATTACGCATTTATGCTGGCGATAAGAATTAGTTTTTTTCACTTTTCCTAGTTGTTCAATAGTCTGGTAAATTGAATGTGTCTGGTCAGATTTATTCAAGCAACGCGTTTTAAAAAATAGTGTGCTGAATTGGAAACCAAAAAAA